TTTTAGCGCTAAGCAAAGTTCTGAGTTGAATACCTTTACTTAGGCCTAGAAATTGGTGCTGATGCAGACTACAGTTTTTATTATACCATCATCAATCATCATTGAATTAGTCCTGGGCATCCCTCCCCGTTGTCGGTCTGAATTCTAATGATGGCTTCATTCCTTGCACCAGCCATATCAGCGAGTTGTCATCTCGAGCATGATTTGCCTATATACAAATGATACAATTAGAGTATGAAACTGAGTTCAAAGAAAAGGAAAAGAGAATTCTATCACATGCCAATAAATATACACATAATAGTTGAAGCTAAGTGAAAGTCATTACTCACACATCAATTCTAAAAAATTACAGACTAAACAATGGCTAGAATGGCACTGAAACTACCAAGAATCATGGACGAAACAACTTGTCAAATTAAATAATCCTTATACTGAAACTACCTTCTAACTTGAAATAAGACATGATCACAGTTCATAGCACTCTTATCACTATGAATTGGTTGCAGCTCGTCCTTATCACTGCCTCTCAAGCTCAATTCAAACAGAATAGAGATCGTTATGTAAGATAACCATATCCTTACTCATCATAGTTCCTTTCTTCACTCCATTTTTGTCGGAGAAAAGAGTTATCCCCCTCTCCTGCATTTCCCTTTCCCCCTCTCTTCTCCCTCTTCTTCACAAACCGATCCCTAAACCAGCAACAACAACACAAAAATAGCCTTCGCCTCTGCCATCTCCATCTACTGAGCGCATTGGTGGCAAGACAGGACTGCAGAAGCAAAATTTTCTAAAATCAAACTAAATTTTTTGAAGGAGACTCAACCCCGAAAAAAGAGTAAAGCAACAATGCTAATAGTTCAGATGGTTGGTTTTGATGTTACACGTTGCTTTTGTTATGGTCTCCAGTATATCAACTGCAACAGAGATGTTTCCTCCAATCATCTATAGTGCCCGATTTAGAAGTAAGTCCTCTTGTTTGTGTCAAACGGAAACATTCATGGGTTCTTAACTCCCCTGTTAGTGTAAATGCAGCAGCAACAAAGAAGTTTGGCAGCACAGCAAGCACCCAGGCAAAATGATACAATGCAGTAGGTGATATGTGTCTCGAAGGTTTTGAGTTACTAAAGTTCATGTTAAAAATAAACATGAATTAAAATGGATTATTCTAATAAGCAAACATCCCCTCTAATCATACAAAGATCAGATATCCAATTCACAAACAATTAAGCCATAAAAAATCATCACACATCCACCACATTTGATTGCCTAAATTTGGTTTTTCGCAAAGTTATGGACTCTTAAGGGTAACGTTCATGGGTAGTCTGTTTCATAACTCTAGAGAGCATAGTAAGCAGCCACCAGCCAGACACAGTGCGGTAGGAGAATATGATTCTCAATTCACAATTTCTCACCACCGGAAGTAAGAATAGACCATAATAAGCGTAGCGTTCATGGGTGGTCTGTTTCATAACACTACTACACAATTTGTTAAAAAGGAAAGAAAGGTATTTAGCATCACGGCGGAACAACTTTTACAGGCCAACAACGACAACATGCTGCAACCACCAGAACTGGTATCACAACTCATAGGGAAAATCAAAAGATTTACTCTCAAATTAAGTAGTTACAACATCGAGCAATCGTCAAGCACATACACCATCACAAAAGTCACGGAACCTGATTCACAAAGCATTCAAACATTTGAGGACATTTCTGCAAAGGTACAACTTATGTCTTTTTTCCAAGCCATTTCCAACAACATGCTAATAAATTTGCAATGCATAAAACAAAGAGGGCAAAACTTGAAATTCAGCTTGTTTGACCGACCCATGCCAAATTCTAATTATTCTTTACTTTTAAACTTTCTATTTGAAAATAAAAAATAGTGAAAGAAAAGAGACGACTACAATTCGCCATTTGCACATCACTTTCTATAGGATCGTTTTAATGTTTAAAATAACCAAATAGATCTTTATGTTTAATTAGTTTTTTACTAATTAACAAATACCAAACAATTCCCTATAAAATACACTATAATTTGATCATTATGATGTCAAATAATTATAAAATATATATTTGAAACGATAAAAATTGGACTAATTGGGTTGGTCGAGGTTGAACCATTAAATAAATTTAAAATACATTATATTTTAGTCACTAAGATATAAATAATAGCATAATATATATTATGTCAGAGAAAATAGTTTGTTTTACAATGACAAACCAATGATGTTCATTTGTTTTACTTGATTGCCAAATCTCATGTAGGTCAGACCCATTCAACTCTTTTATTTTATGGTTAGCGGTTAGCCGATTAGATACCATGCATTAGTTTATTGTTAAATTTTTTATTTTCAGCAATAAAAAGAAGTATTATTTTTGCCTTTTCATATATATTTTATCACACGGAGAAATAAAGGGCTTAAAGAAAAAAATTGACACTCCTGGACCCGTTCAAATCGGCATGTGTACAGTAAGTTGGCCCCTTCCACAAAGGAAAGAGAAAAAAATGACACTCCCTATTCTTCCCTTCCTACAAACGCTCCTGGAATAGGGAATTTGAAATTGGGGAAGGGTTTTTTCCTCCCAGCTATTATATGTTTTTAATTTAAAAAGATACAACAAATGTACTTAGTGTGATTGGTTATGATCCTTGTTTTTCTTTAAAATGGTCATGGTTCGAATCCCAGTACCTGTCTTTTTAATGAATAAAAAAAGTAATTGTGAAGACCAAAATGTCCTTCCTACTTTCACTCTCGTTGCAGGAAATTTGAAATGGGGCTCCCGTTTTTCCCTTCGGCGTATTATATTATGTGTAGATCAATCAATCAATCAGTCGCTTACCATACTTCGTCAACTCTACATAGATGATGATGTGCTTTAGTGCGTGGTATATGATTCACGATTGAACCTCTCTCAACAACTCGAATTATTGGGATCAACTGGTTCTTTGACATGATATATCAGAGCTTTCTGTGATCGGGAGGTCTTGGGTTCGATTCCCGGTGACCCCATTTGTTAAGCACATGGTATTCGGACCTGTGCAAAATTCAAGCCCTTATGAGTGCCCCTCGTTTGAGGGGGCGTGTTAGTGTGTGGTTTATGATCCACAATTGAACCTCTCCCAACAACTCGAGTTATTAGGATCAACTGGTTCTTGACAATCTGAGACTCTGATTCTCCGAGAGGCCATCTAGTAGTGTCTGGAAATCGGCCTCACTCAGATTCAGTTTGTAGGGAATGCAAATGTGGTTATTGATAAAATACGTTCGACGGACTTATGTGATAGTTGTTCTGGAACTATTCTCGTCAAAAATCTTGTATATATTGGATCACAACAGTGAGATTCACGTACAATTTATAGGGCGGATTAACAATAAGATAGCTCATTTGATTCGATCTATCGATTTTTGTGCCTCGCATGTAAAAATATTTTCGAATTCATTCAAGCATTCAAATGGTATTCCGAGCAAAATAACGGTACATGATTATTTACTCAAATTTGCCCCCCTCTTCTTGTTTTCCTCCATGTACATTGTAATTGTCCAAAGAGCCTCGGAAATCGGGTTAGTGGGAGTTATTTTCATTCCCCCACAAATTTAAAGGCACAAACATGCCCCTTCCCTGCCTGCCTTTGCCCCCATCGTAGACCAAGAATTTCAACCTCACTTTTGACAAAAGTGAAAAAGTAAAGTAAAAAACAACTTCAAAATGGAAAACAAGATAGTGAAAAGTAAAATCCCACTACCACTAACAGGGAAGATAGTCTCCCCTCGCTTGCCTTTATATAACACGACCCCTTGCGTCTTCCCACAAATCACACATTTGCCTCTACTCCCATTTTCTTCCCCACACTTCCACCCTCTTTCACCATCTCTACCTCAACAACGTTGTTTACCTCAAGCCATGCCACCTTGGCGTCAACCATTCTCATTCCACCCTCCAACAACATCACGGTTTTAACGATCATGATCGGTGGACTGGAGCGCTTGTCTTCGTCCACCGATCATGAGCAACGAGAAGGAGTATCAGAGGATGATCGGTGTGGCCCGTGGTGATAGCACCATTGGGGTGAGGAGACGAGAAGTAGTTCCAACGACGACGTACGGTTGAAGGAATGTAGAGAAACAGAAGAAGAAAAAAGAGAAGAATGGAATTTGGCTTTGCAACTACACTCTCCTTGTTTCTAGCCCTCGCTGCTCTTTGGAGCCGAGAGATGCGCAGAATTAGGAGAGCGTCAATTGTTGCATTGCACAGGGGAATTGAGGGTAACGGTCCGATTTACCTTTTATTTTTTATTATCGTCACTTTGTTTAGCTTCTAGGAGTATTTTTCCTTCTTCTCTTTGTATGTTAGAAGACTTGGGGATGTAAGAAATGCATACTTACAAGGCCAGCTAGAGACCGCATGAGTGTGTTGTAGAAAAGCTGTCGGGGTATGCATTTCTTACACCTATTTCAATAACACAAATGTACCCCTCCTTACTTTCTGTTGTTTCATGGAAAAACATTATTGCGACATGAAAAAGTGGATTCTCGAAGGTTTTTTTTTTTCAATTTCGATTCCATTTCAATCACAACATTGTGAATAATCGACTATCTCATAGCAAAGGACATGTAGTTCCGCTTATACAAACATAAGCAATTCATGATGAAATTTGCCAAAAGAAAATGAGAAAATTCTATCACCAGATAAGCCAACAAAATCAATTGCACATCCTTGGAATTCTTTGTTGCCCCATCAGTAAAGTTTGGATTCTTCATTATGATTCTCTATCCAAGATAGTAAATTCTGCTCTTGGAACTAATTGGTGAAATACATAACAGAGAACACTAAAAAGTTATGATTCGTTTATAACTAACTGATTCTAAAAAATAAAGAAACGTAACAAATTATACGAGAGTGAAAATAGATAAAAATTACGTTACATTAGGATAAACGGGGAACAGGTTAAAGTATACTAGAGTCAGTGAAAAGAGGTAAAAAAAAAATGTTAAAAACCATTGTCAGTGCAATTGAACAGCAACCGAAGAAGAAAAAGAAAGGGGATGAAGAGCATCCACTAATCGGCGAACCTGCCGCCGCCGGTGATCCTGACCTGATTTCAGCCCTTCCGGACGAATTAATACACCAAATCCTTTTCCTTCTCGACTCTCCGAAACAAGCAGCGAGAACCGGCGCTCTGTCCCGAAGATGGCTCCACCTATGGCGATCTTACCCGGTGCTGGAGTTCCGACGCGAGGAGTTCGACCAGTCCGCCGCGGGCGACGCAAAATCCGCCGACTTCGCCGCCGCAGCGGCCCGGAGGATTTCCCTGTACTTCGAACATTTCAGGACGCCGCTCGATTCACTGAAGTTCGCGATGCCGAATCGCCAATCGTATCCCGAGGCCGACATGTTTCTAGCGCTGGCGTCGCCGATCGCCGCACAGTACGGATCGCCGTTCGAGGTCGCGATCCGAACCGGCGAGTCCTACAGTTTCCCCGAGGGATCGTTCTCGCACTGCAGCCGCACGAAAGTTCTCAAGCTCGACGGCGGCAACATTAAGGGATTGGGAAAGGTTTCTGTGCACGGTCTCCAGGTTCTTCATCTCGACAATCTCGTACTTACTGAACAATTGCTGTACGATTTCGTTGCCAGTGCTCGTAATCTCGAGTCGTTGAGCTTGGGGGAGTGTTTCGAAATTGGAAGGCTGGAGATTTCGGTTGGTAATTTCCCCAAATTGAAAACCCTAAGCATCCACGCGAGAGGGGATTCCAAGCTTCAGGAATTCCAGCTTACTACAGCCCCTTTTCTAGAGAGGTTAGTCTTCATCAAGGCAGGGAACCCATGTAAGCTGAGAACAGTATCCTCATCTGCAGCTCCGAAGCTCAAGTTTGTAAGGATCGATAGCTGCGACAGACAGTTTTCGCGGCTCGATCTGGACGATTTCATTATGAAGTTGCCATCTTTGCAGGATCTGTATCTCGCCCGTGTGTGCCTCAAGGACAAGCTTCTCTGCACCCTCATGGCCAATACTCCTAATCTCAGGTCATTGAGGTTTTCCTCCTACTTCCATTGGATTGACAAGGTAGAGATCTCCCACGGCAGTCTTTCCAGCTTGGAAATCGTTCCCAAGGGGGGCCCATTCAGATTCCAGATTGAGTTCAAGCTTACCTCAACCCCTTTCCTGGAGACTTTGAAGATTGCAGATTTTGTGGGATTGTACAAGTTGAATATAGAATCGCTATCTGCAGCTCCAAACCTCAAAGTATTGGAATTTACTGTCCCCGAGGGGTTTACGCAGGGACATCTTGATGGTTTGCTTTCCAAGTTGCCATATCTCGAGAGTCTCTATTTGGTGAGAGTGAATGGGACGCACAGTGAGATGAGGAGGCTAAGGGTCTCGAGTCATCAGCTTCGGGTGTTCAAGTTGCGTGATGCATACGAAGCCCCAACCAAGCCAATGCGGGTGCTTAAGATTGATGCTCCTAATTTGGTGAGTGTTCAGTACAAGGGAAATGGATTAAGGTTTCCGGACAGTATTAATGTTCTCAATGTGGCATCTGACTGCCGATTTGTAGTTCAAGGGTATGGTAAGATTGGCGAAAGAAGCACACATTTGAAACATGAATGGTTTCTGCGATTGAGGCAGTCTCTCTGGGCAGTGAGCCGATTCCACCTAGTATTGCAGCTGCACAGCTTGGAATTGTCAAAACAACAGGTATGGGTAAATATCAATCAATGGATGACACAAGTATATGCAGTACTATCCAAAATATCGTAGTAGAAAGTTTTATCAAACAAATATCGTTAAAGTATCATACTTTCAAGAAAATCTTTATCCAGGCTAGTTTTTTTTATTCATTTACTTGTGAATTCATGATTCTTGACAACCTACAATCTCAATCTTAATTACCGCCTTCATCCCATCTGTTCATAAATGTGTTTGTTATGTTACTTCATCGTGATATTCATGAACTCTGTTTTGGATAAATCAAGGTTGCATTCGATTTGAGAGTAGCTGAACGCATTTCACCTCCTTGGTTCGTTCAACGCTTGGATCTGGAGACCTCATCTTCGGACGTGCCTGATGAACACAATTGTAATGTATTTCTTGGTGGTTTGTTCTGGGCATGTCGGCCTATATCAATCTGCATACCTCAAAAACATGATGCAGACCGTAAGTTTGTCCAGGTATGCTAAGCTTCTCCCACCATGTTACATAGTTGCAGTTTAGTTTATTACAATCGCTTATCCTCCCTGATATTGAATGGAACAGTTAATTTACGAGCAATTCAAGAACAAAGATGGTGCTAACTGTTGCGTGGGCGCCAAGTGTTGGCGACATGATCTAAGAGAAGTGAAGATAGAGAATGCAAGTCTCGACCATAACAACACGACAATAGATGTTTCCCAGAAGGAGGATCCATCCCTGGCAAACCTTGAAGAGGTTTTGTTTAGATTAACATGGGGTTGATTATCTATAGAGTTACTACGGTCACACGAATCAGCTCTGTGGTGAATTGAAAATGGTTGACGCCCTTGCAGTCTATGCACTACTAGAAACTTGGTCGCCTCAGGGGGCATTTTATGAACTCATGCTTAGAACTTGTTGCTGGGGTGTTTCCACCTTTGTTGCATTAATATTTAACTAGGTAAGAAGCCCGCGCTTCGCGGCGGGTTGTTTTTCAAAGTGTTGATATCGGGACTGTTTGAATGATTTAAAACGGATTGTTTGATGGCACAAAAAGTGTTTGGTAAATGGCTATATTGAGAATTACTGAACTATAAAAACTCGAAGCAAAATAAAATAAGTGACTGCTACGGACATAAAAGAGTATCCAATTAACCCAATGGAACAATGAATGTGCTAACTGGCATTCAAATGAAAGTCAGGCTCTTAAATTTTGACTAAGTTCAGCATTGATACATGATCGGTTTAAATGAAAGCAAGACAAATCAAGATTATGAAGTACTATAGCGGCTGACCTAACCTTTCCTACTGATTTGAAGAGACTTCATAATTCTAGTGTCTTTTACTAATCCACCTTCCCTTGAAACTCCAAGAGCTCAACCTTCTTTACGTGGCTGTAGGATTGCAGCAAGGATTAAACCAACCACACATACAGAGGTTGTAAGAAGACTGGTTGAACATGACATGAAGTAAAAGGAAATTAATTAGTCAAACTGAGAGGTCCCGAGGCAAAAATATATGTAGGCTATAGCCCTTACCTCTTTGCATAAATCTATAATGTCAGTGAATGACACCAATCTGCTGTAGTTTTCCTTAACCAAGACATGATGCCAAAACATATGTACTTGTATTAATCCTGAATTGTAGGCATGATTGGATTAGTGAGCTCAATCCTTATTCTAAAAGCATAATATGAGTAATAGATATATGGTTAGTAAAGCTATTGTTCATCTTGTATTATTACCGAATTGCAGGCATGATCGGAATAGTGAGTTCAATCCTTGTTCTAACAGCATAATATGAGCATTAGATATGTGGTAACTAAAGTTGTTCCAAGAGCTCAACCTTCATCTTGTAGAACATGTTGTAATGAAGAATATCGACACTCCTAAGAACCCAATCGACACTCCTAAGAGTTACGACATTGCCACCGAGCAAAAAACAATATACCAAATATGGTAATGAAACATGAAAATAAGGAAAACACCATTTCTTATATATATGATAGATAAATCTGCAAGCCATACACTACAGAGGAAAAAAACGAAGGCTTAGAACTAATATCTGATACATATAGGAAGATAGAGATAATTTGCATGCTTCCATTTCCATTCGTTGAATCTTATTATATGACAGAAAAGACTATTTACATCCTTCCATTTTCATTCAATGGGAGACTATAACAGAAAATAAACACAGAGCTAACCAAGTCACGTTTAGACCATCAATGAAACCTGACTACTAATTCAACTTCAAGATTTTCATTACTTTTAAGCAGGCATTCGCTGCCAAAGAAGAATTTGTATTTGAATTATGGTTACTTTCACTATCAATGGTAGCTTTAAACATACGATCTCGTGCTTACCGTAGTTTTAATAATGAGATTCATTTTCAAGGACCAGCAACCATAAAAGATCATCAAAAAGTCAAAAATCAAGTCTAGCAATGGTGACAACTGACAAATCAATTACATTATGGCGAAACTTCCTTTGAGCAGCAGCGCAAGATCCAGATAACATAGAAGGGAAGACTTTAACATGGCACAAAACCGGCAACAAACACAACATATGAGTAAGACATAGCTAAAAGCGGCCAGTAAACACTCCATCCTAAATCAAAGTACAGGCCAAATCTGATCAGTCAATTTTTCTAAGAACAAATCTCACCTTTGATCATACAATTTCATCGACTGTACCCAACAGTAAAGAGAAACGACGACATTCAGCAACCACCCCTGACCACCCTTTCACCAAATAAGCAAACTTTTACTTCGAATCTAGTGATATAAGAAAGAGGTAAGAGACAGATCGACAAACCGCCAATCGTAACAAAAAAAAATGAAACTGAGAAAGCAGAGAAGGAGAAGCAGGGCGCATTGGAATTAACAGCAGTAACGACAGTAGTTCCAACATCATGACTCTCTTCTCTACAGCAGAAACTCATCCCCAACCGAAACTCAACGTACACGTCAACTCTGTATCAATAAATAACAATTCTAACTTGACCACTAAAAGGTTTAGAGGATTTATGAACCTGATATACCATTAAGTCAATGCCCTGCAATTAGAGAGAACAAAAAAAATAGGAAGATCATAGATCACAGCCCTCATAACCAAATGAACCAACCAACACATTTTTTGTAAAATGTTTATGCTAACTAACATCAAGTGTAGCAAAAGAAAAGCCAAACTATACCAAGTCAATCCTCATCTGTCACTTTTCCAATTATTTCAAAGCTTGCTCTTTTATTCTAAAATTCGGTTGACAAAACAAACTTAGCTTGACCTTTGATTTTTATTTCTAGTTTCAAATCTAGATTATGTTAATGAAGCATATACGTTACCTGGACAATAACATCACCCTTGAAGACCAATTCATTGATGAAGTGTTCACCGAAATACAAAAGGCAGCAACACCTAGCCAAAAATAAAATAAATATAAATATAAATATGTTCCATGAAGTTGCACCATATGAGTCATCTGGAATTAACTATATTTAGTGAAGCAATGAACTTTATTAGCATTTTGTATATGTAGTCACAACTTTGAGAATAACGAACCATATAATAAAAGTACTTCATGTACATGAATACATGACCAGCCCGTCCAATCTATCAACGAAGATGAAATGAGATTGAATCAAATTTGAAAACCCAAAATAGGTAGAAAAAAGCTATAAACAACAAATAAAAAGAGGGGAGAAACTTAGACTGAGAAACTTAGACTGAGAAACCATAAACTCACCATATGGGTAACCATACATATAATGACTATAGATCTGAGTATGAAATTCAGCGGATAACTCATGCCTGTGATGTTGAGGGACCTGCAGGAGTAGGGGGATGGCACTTTGGCGGATATCTCGTTGGGTCCGAGATGCTGGAGTTCTACTTGAGGCGCGATAGGAAAGTGAGGGTAGGGATTTTTGGTGCGGATACCCAAACAGACCCCAATATCAACCACTGTTCATTCCTGTTATTGTCAAACACAGAAAACCTAAAATTAAAATTTCTCAAAGATATAATCTGTAACGGACCTATGGCAAATCATATGCTGCTCATACAGCCGGCAGAGACAACCTAAATTTATTAAATGGAAGTTGCAGGCATAATCTCTTATAAGAAACCAGTAGCCCACATTGAATGGAAGGAGATCCATCATTTCCGTATAAGAAAGACATAAAATTTCTTCCTCCCCACCAACTACAAAAATTAGCTTTTATCTAAGATTTTATCTGCTATGTATATAACATCGCCACATTCAGTCCAAGGATGAACATGTGTTGAAGGAACACCAACAAAGAATTCAAAACCAAACCAGAAAAAGAAAAGTAACTATATAATTCTAACAAAACAACGACCAAGAGGCATGACACAAAAGCTTTAGCGAGGAGGTCAAATGAGTAGCGAGAATGCAGATCGAGAATCGCAACTACAAATGGTTCAACTAATCAACTAACTACAAATGTTCCAACCAATAAACTAATCTTTATCTCAAATCCAACCCAAATCAACAATAACCCAAAGCAACTAACCAACATAAGGAACCATAAATGGCACTAAAAATACTCAGCGTCTTCAAATACTTCTATCAATCTCTTGCTACCTTCCAACCTGAGATTTTATCCATACCAACCCATCAACAAAACTGGTAATCTGAGGATCAAATAGGAAGTGCCAGTTAAAAACTCCAATTCAAATTATTCATTACTTCGAGTTTACAAACCCAAAAAATTCTTCATGCTAACATGGGAGAAGGATGTCGAAAGTGGGAGGAAACGAAAGCGCAAACCCATCCATGGAGAGGTGGTCAAATACTATTGCATTAATAAGCACATCAAACAAACCTAACCTTATTGTCTCGAGCCTTTCTTATTGAAGCGAGTTCTCCTTCCAACTTTGCTGCATTTTTATGTGCCTCTCTTCTTGTCTCCGTTATTGGTTGTTGTGATTCGAAGAAACATCTAATACTTCTTCCTTGTCTGACCCTTGCGTTCAACGCCCATTCCTATAAAAGCACGATAATGAGGACAAACAATGGGATTTACATAGAACAATTCCAGACTCAGAAACAAACCCAAATTGAGAATGTAATAACCCATCCTCCAAGCATGGTAGGGGGAGGAAGTCAAGTAGTAATAGACAATAACTCTATATGAAGATTCACCAACTGGATACTATTTAGAAAGCTATTGGAATCTTAAATAATTCCCTATGACTGAAAACAAAATTTCAAGGCAAATGACATGTGCAGTAATAAGGTAATAAATCCTACCAAATTGGCAGGAAACTGGTGCTTTAATCCCAAATATGGTACGCTAAACTCCCTAACTTGCAAATCTCTCATTATGTGCATCATTCAAGGAGTCTACTGAAAAGCTAAATTGCATGAATGGAGAAGACTCATCACCTATGATCAATGAACTTGAGGACTTCAATGGGAACTCGATACCTTGTGAGCAACCATGGTACTAACATTTCCTTGGAAGGTAACTCCGGTAGGCTTCAATGGCCCACCTTCTCCTTGACAGAGAAGTACAGTTTCGTGAACGTCATCAGAATTGAAGTGTTGCTGGTTGCAGAAACTCCAAGTGCTTCAAGCTCTTCTTCTCCTAGAGAAAAAGAAGGGAAACAAAGGGAGAGTGAGCCAGACAACCATGACAAAAAAAGCTATTCAAATCTCTCCAAGAAACTCTAAAAAAAAAACTAAAGAGGAAATCCATTTAAAAAATGAACTGGTGTTGTCGATTCCTCCAGGCCAGAACTCCAAAGAGATCCACATGAATCTATAACCATGATCATTGTATGTTTTCGAATATTGTTCTTTTAATAACAGTTAGATTACTCATGCCCAACTATCTCTTACCGATCTATGGAGGGGTATAGAACATACTCTTATACTGGTAAACTCGTCATGAAAGATCAATAAACAAAGTGAAGAATAGTTTATAAAATAAGAAAG